ATATGATTATATACATAGATGCAGAAAAAGCTTTTGACAAAATATAACATCTATTCCTATTGAAAATGCTATAAAATATAGAAATAAATGGAGCTTTTCTTACAATGATAAGTAACATCTATCTAAAATCAAGAATAAATATCATCTTTAATGTGGATAAACTAGAAGCCTTCCCATTAAAATAAAAAGTGAAGTTAGGATGTCCATTATCACTATTATTATTCAACATTGTATTAGAAATGCTACTTTTAGCAGTAAGAGAAGAAAAAGAAAATGAAAGAATTAAAAAAGGCAATGAGAAAACAAAACTAAAACTCTTTGAAGATAACATGATGGCATACTTAGAGAATCCTAGAAAATCAACTAAAAAATTACTTGAAATAATTAACCACTTTAGCAAAGTTGCAGGATATAAAATAAACTCACTTAATCAGCATTTATATGGAAATAACCAACAAAGTCAGCAGCAAGAGAGAGAAACAGAAATTCCATTTAAAATAACTGTAGGAAATACAAAATACTTGAAAGTCTACCTGCCAAGACAAACCCAGAAATATGAACACAATTGGCAAAACACTTCACACAAATAAAGTCAGATCTAAACAAATGGAGAAATATTAATTGCTCATGGGCAGGCTGAGGCAATATAATAAAAATGACAATTCTACCTAAATTAATTTACTTACTCAGTGTCATACTAATCAAATTACAAAAGAAATATTTTATAGAACTAGAAATATGATAACAAAATTCATCTGGAAGAACAAAAGGTCAAGAATATCTAGGGAATGCATGAAAAAAAAAATGTGAAGGAAGGTGGCCTAGCAGAACCAGATTTCAAAATATATTAAAAATGGTAATCATCAAAACAATCTGGTATTGGCTAACAAATAAGAGAGGTGGACCAATGGAATAAATTAGGTATACGACACACAATAGTAAATGACCATAGTAATCTAATGTTCGATAAATGCAAAGATCCAAGCTTTTGGGACAAGAACTTACTACTTAACAAAAACTGGAAAAATGGGAAACAGTTTGGCAGAAACTAGACAAAGACTGACATGTCATACCATATGACAAAGTAATAGACATATGCGGTGACATCATAAGCAATCTAGGGCAGGGTGGGAAACCTGTGACGTTAAGGCCTTCAGGTTCCCCACACCTGAACTAGGAGAACATGGAAAAAATTATCTGCCAAATCTATGGATACGGGAAGATTTTATGACTGAAAAAGAGACAGAGTAGATCAAAGGAGGTAAAATATATAATTTTAAAAACATGAAATTTAACTTTTTGCACAAGTAAACCCAATGCAGTCAAAATTAGAAGGTAAGCAGGAAACTAGGGGGAAATTTTTACTGCAAGTTTCTTTGATAAAGGCCCCATTTCTCAAATATAAGGAGAACTGAGCCAAACTTAAAAAAAAAGCCATTCCACAATTGATAAATGGTCAAAAGATATGAAGATAAAGTTTTCAGAAGAAAAAAATCAGTCATCAACAGTCACATGAAAAAATGCTCTAAATCACTATTGATTAAGGAAAGGTCATTAAAATAGCTCTGAGATACCACTTTCACACCTATCAAATTGGCTAACATGACAAAAAAGGAAAATGACAAATGCTAGTGGGGAATTAGAAAAACTGGGACACTAATGTACTGGTGGTGGAGTTGTGAACTGGTTCAACCATTCTGGAAAACAATTTGGAACTATATCCAAAGGGTAATTAAAAATAACCTTTGACCCAGTAAGACTACAAGGTCTTATTGCTGGGTCAAAGGTTACTTTGACTACAAGGTTTGTATCCAAAAGAGATCAAAGGAAAAAGGAAAAGGACATGGACAAAAGTATTTATAGCAGCTTTTTGTGGTGGCAAAGAATTGGAATTGAGGGGATGCCTATCAATTGCGGAATGGCTGAACAAGTCGTGGTATATGATTGTGATGGAATACTATTGTGCTATAGGAAATGATGAAGGGAATAGTTTCAGAAAAACTGATACAAAGTGAAGTAAGCAGAACTGGGAGAACATTGTACACAATAACTGCAATATTTTAATTATAATCAACTATGAAAGTCACTCTGATCAATATGATATAACAAGAGTCCAAAGTACTCGTGATGAAAAATACGTTCCACCTCCAGAGAGCAAAATGATAAACTGTCAATGAAGATTGAAGCATATTTTTTTTACTTACTTTCTTTATCATTTTTTGCAACATGGTTAATATGGAAATGTTCTGTGTGACTCGCGTGTACAATGAGTATCATATTGCTTGCCTTCCCAGTAAGTGAGAAAGGGGTGAGAAGGAGGGAGAAAATCTGAAACTCAAAGTAAAAACTGAATGGTTAGAAAAGAAATTCTGATTTAAAATCCAAGGCTTAGCAGAAACTTTGAAAAACACAAGAGAAAAAAGAAACACAAAAATGCAAATATAAATGAGCCATCAGGAAAGATTTTTATAAGGACCAAGTGGTTGTATTCTAATGGGGAAGCAGGTAGATGATATAATAATAGCCTAAGAATTGTTATGTCAGTAGGGATCATAGAGGGAGTCAAATAAAAGATGGAAGTCCTTGGAGTGATTTTTGTTATACTTTGATTATATCACACAGAGAAATATTAAAAGGACATATTGTCTCACTCCCTCCATCTAAAAATGGAGCGGAGTCTGGTCATTAGGGAAGGATATGGTGACTTATATGATCTTGGAACATTCACCAAGTTTTAAGGGCCCTGACCCCATATGGGTAAGCCTTTTTATGCCCTTAGGTGACCAGGAAGCCATGTCAATAAAGCATCAAAGCAGGTGCAGCTTGAGCCTTGGACCCTGAGCCAATTAAGTCCTAGGCACAGCTTTGCCATCTTTCAAAGAAAAAATAGCTTAAACCATTTTGCAGAGGAAAGGAGAACCTTTGTATACGAGGATCATTTACAGAAAGTAAGACCTAATTTAAAAGAAAAAGTTGATTCTGAGATTATTTTTTGTTTTTATATTAATAATAAAGTTGCCGAACAAAATTATGTTAAATCTTTTAAATTACCTTGTGCAATTGACCCATACACGAGGGACAACTTGTTGAAAAAGTTTTTAAAGCAGAATTTGCTCTATCATATAAAAATTGTTTATATAGTAAATTAACAATAATTACAGAAGGATCTTGTGGTCTGACACAGTTTGTGAAAACCTATCTATTCCCTTCTCAAATGTTCATTAATAATGCTCTCAATAAATATGTAGATTTATAAAGATTTTATATTGCTGGGAAATTTGCTTGATAAGCTTTTATTGGTAATAAGAAGGTACATTATTTTTTACACAGCATTTGGCATCCTTTATCAGCTATGTTGAGAATCCTTCAATACTTTCAAAATGGGCTGTAACAACATAGATAGACCTCCTTGATGCATACTTGTTTTATTCCAGCTGTGTTTCCTATTACTTCATTTAGTACTATTCCTACTCCCTCATGCATTGCATTGGAGACTGACTATGACATTAGAGTTCAAACACGATAATTCGCTACAATTTACAAAATAATTTGCTACAGAAATCTTGACAGATCTTTTCCATCTTAAGTCACTTCACTGCCTTCCAGTTTTGTCTTAAATGCCCTTTGGAATGATCTGGTTTCACTAGGTCTCTTGATAATTTTTCTGTTTTTCCCTCCTCTGCTTCTCACTGGTTTATGAGGTGATACTAATAATCTTCCATCATCTTATACCATAAAATTTTACTTATAAAATTAACTACATATGTAATTTTTTTCCTCTTAGCTATATATCTCTCCACTTAGCAAAGAGTTAGTGTTTCTTAGATGACATAGTTCCTAATCTCTCTTGCTCTTATCTGCACTTGCTACATCTAACATCTACCTCTCTTCTTGAATAAAGTATTCATGATACATATATGTGAAGATTCTGTTTAGTTCTGTGAAACTTTGGCATTTTGTGTTCCTGAGGCACGTTTTCCAATATAATTTTCATTTCTCTTCCTTAGGTACACCTTTACACTGAAGTCAGTGAGCATTAAAGCATATGTTGATTTAAAATGAAACATCCTGAGTTCTTCATCGAATTTCCCTACTTTCTCCTCTTCTGCTATAGATGTCAGTGGATATTGTAGTCTTTTTGCAAACACTTTTATCGCGAGAACTTTGTATGAGATGACCAAACTCCCATGAACTTTTTTTTGTTGTTTTTGGCCTCATGACATAAACCAATTCTTCCAACTCCTTTATTTACTTTTCCAAAGAGAACCTGTGAGCTACCTTTCAATTTAGCTATAACTTTTTTCATCTTCTGATTTCATTTATAGAGAAAATGTTGTTTGATGTGATTCAGTTCCTCCAGTAATATGTCTATTCATGGTCACTGAATCTGTATTCAGTGACAGATTTCACAATTCAGTATTCATTATTCAGCATTCAGATATCACAATTAAGATATCATTAAGGTAAATAGTAAAGCTAATGTTTACAGATGGTCCCTCCTTTAGCCATTCTGCCATTAGCCCGCAAGAAAAGGACTGAGGGCCATTTTGTACCTATCTCTGTTTCATGGATTTCCAAGGTCACAGAATCCAACACCAAAAGATCAAATTTACATTTATTTTAAAATTTAAAAAGGTTTTACAAATTAAAAAAAGAGAAGGAAAAGAAAAGAAGGAAAAGGAAAGTAATAATTTAGTGGAGGTATATGTTTAAGAGAAGAGGGAAATAAAGGGAGGTAAAATACTTAGATGCTTTTTTTTTAAAGTCAACAAGCATTTACTAAACACTTATAGGCCTAACATGGCAAGTCTCTACTTAATTCTCCATGTTGTGTGCAAGGCACATAGGAAGGATGCTCTAAATTAGGTACAAGGTAGAAAGCATAAGATTAATTTTAAAGGCTACAACTATTTTTGCTTGTGGTTTTTTTCCCCTGAGCTAAGGCACTACATTAAGCATAATATAAAAAAATTTTCTCATTATCAAAATATCACACATACCAGTAATGAATCTTTTATAAAGCATTCCATCTCCTGTGGAAAATTTCTGTGCCTGGAGATTAAATTTTCAAAAAGATGCAGTGTTGCTTTTTCCAAGCTGGGAAGGTGACGAAGCCATAGGGAGAGTACAGCTGATTCAGAAAGGACAATCTTCTTCCTTTCATGAAAAGAAAATATATATATATATATATATGTCATACATATATGTTATACACATATATGTTTTTAAAGAAATTAAGTCCACAAAAAAGCTGACAAGTTGTCAAAACACAATCATTAATAATCAACTATAAATATTTTTTCTTATCCTCACTAATGAACTTTTTTTTAACATTGCCATCAATTAACTGAGTGACCATTGTTCTGGAACACATGCTGGATGGAACCTCAACTTACCAAAGAACTTTTCAAAAAAGTAACACTAAAATTAAGTTCAGTAAAACAAGTAAAATGACAGTATATTTGGGAGAGGAAAAAGTACATAAAATGATATATAAAAAGACTATGGCAACAATTGTTTTTGGGAATGACTGAGTCAGAAACATAGTAACATTGTTAACAATTAAAAAGCAAGGCCAAATGTTAGGCATCTGTCTGCATCAGTGGCAATATCATAATTATCAAAGGAAACCCACAAGCTAATGGAATAGGTGTCAGGGATACCATGGCACAATTTGCTCTTTTTTCTATTAAGGTCCAAGTACAAAAACTTATCTTGTGATGGGACTGAAGAGTTAGCATTCTGTTAAGATAAGCAGACAACCTGTATCCAAAACTTATTTGCCTTTATGAAAGGGCAGCATCTACACTGGTGCTCAGATCTAGAACAGTTTGGAATGCAAAGGTGCTGATGCCTCCAACAATCAAGGAAAGCTAATTTCAGATAAGAGGTTCATTTGATGCCCACTCTCCCCATATCTTCCTTCATATTTGTATACTCTTCTTACAATGCAATCCAATTATGAGATAATAAACTCCACCCATTCCTCCTTTTTACAGGAGTATTCATTTTACTTTCTTATTTCTTCTTACGCTTTTCTACAAACCCTCAGAACAGAACTAATCCACTCTTAAGACCTTTGTTTTTCTTATTTAAGTCTCTAAAGAGCCATTGAAAACACTAAAGAGACTGTTTTGCTTTTCCAATTACCAGAATGTTAGCAGGACATCATCATGGAGTCCCTTCCAACTTGTTAAAATAAATTGAACTGTCTAGATTTCTCTTGACTCTAGCATTTGCACTCCAAATTTCTACTCAGCTGGGGATCTTTTCAACAGAAATGCTTTAAATTTCATTACAGGTAATTTTTTTTTCCCCTTGAAGGATTATTTGCAAGATTTTATTCTTAATTGTAAGCCTATGTCTTTTGCATTTTGAAATACTGTATTCCAAGATCTCTTTCATTTACTGTAGCCACTACCAGGTCTTTCATGATCTTAAATAGTTGCCAGTCTTATGTGATTTTAAATGTTTTCCCTAGTACTTGAAAAGCTTTTATTTTAAATACTTACAGTATTTTTTCCTTTGACATGAAAACTCTGTATTTTGGTTTTGACAGTACTGAAATTTTTCAGAGTTGGAGAGACCTCACTCTGTTCAACATATACCAGAGAAAGATTCTACTGTACAATTATGCAGTACAATACTGTACTGGACAAGTGGTTATTCAGCTTCAAGACTTTCAACAAAAGTGTTTTCTTTTTCAATAAGGGTAAGTACACTGTTTTCTGGGACAATGATTTTACTTTGGGATAGAGACATTACAGATTTTTTTCTTTATATTAAGCTGAACTTAAATCTGCCCCTTTGCAACACCTTTCTGTTGTTGCTAGTTCTTCCCTGAGGATAAAAAAAAAATTCCTCTTTTGTATAATAGTCCTTTACATATATTTGAAGATACTCTTCATGTCTACCTGAAGTCTTCTCATCCTTATTTCCTTCAGTCAAGTCAACAAACTTTTATTAAACTTACTATGTGCCAGGAACTGGCTAAGCAATGGGAATAAAAATATAAGCAGAAAGAAAATAAGTCCCTTCTCTTAAAAAGCTACCATTGTAATGAGGGAAAGACAACACAAGGAAGCTGAAAAGTAGGAGATGGGGAGGAATTGAGAAAGCACTGTGCCTCAGATGAGCCATGGAAGGAGAAAGGCCAAAAAGAAATGAAGACATGGTTGGTTTGTGTGCTTTCCTTAAAATGGAAGTTCTCAGAGGAACAATCAATCAGAGGAAGGGGGTCACAGGGAGTGAACTTCCAGGGTAAGAAGGTAAGAGTTGAAATATATTTCTAGGTTGAATTCCAGGATCAACCGTATGAACCTGAGGACTTTCACTATCATGGCTGCTCTTTTGGGGATGTTATAACCTACCTCATTCCCTAAATATAATGTTCACCTAATATAATAATGAAGATCTGAGTCTGACCAAAGCAGAGTTCACTAAGACTGTCACCTCCTTATTTCAGGAAGCTATAACTATTTTAATGTAGCCAAAAATCACACTGGGGTTTTCTTTTTTAATGGCTGTTTCACACTACTGATTCATATTGAGCTTGCCATCCATTAAAATCCACAATCTTTTCTAGATAAACTTCTGCTTAGCTTCATTTCTTCCTTTTTGTACTTGTGAAAATGATTTCTGTACCCAAACTTAAGACTTTATCCTTTTTTAAATTTCTCCTTAGTATATCTGGTCCAATTTTCTAGACCAGCAAGATATTTCTGTATCCCAATTATGTCATCCATAGTATTTATCTATCATTCCTAGATTTATTTCAACTGAAAATCTGAAAAAGAAGCAATCTATGTCTTTATTCAAGCTATTAATTTAAAAATGCTAAATACTACAGGGCACAGCAAAGATTCCTAGGATCTCAACTGAAGACCTCCTTCAAAATTAATCAACTGATTAACCACCACTCTTTGGGTTCAACCATTCAACCAGTTCAAAATACATCTAATTGTATTATCATCTAACCCACATCCTACCTTATTTTTTGTATAATATGACACACTCTGTCAAAAACTATGTTAAAATCCTGGATACTATAGGATTCCCCTAATTTATCACTTTTGCAAACCTCTCAAAAATGAAAACAAGGAAAAGAAAATGGTAGAGTATAAGACAGGTCTCAGCATAACTCTCAAAATCTACCACCTCAAATTAACAAGTAATGCACCAGAAAAATGGTTATTAAAATTATAGTAAGAAGATACAGAAAAATACCTTTACACAATGTAAAACCATCTCCTCCTCCTTCTCTTCCTCCTCCTCATCTATCATTTACATATGGATTTAAGGTTAAGAAAACGCTTTACAAATATTGACTCATTTGAACCTCACAATGATTCTGTGTAGATAGTCCTGTTATTATCCTCATTTTACAGATGAGGAAACGGAGACACAGAGAGGTTAAATTATTTGCCCAGGGTCACATAGCTAGTACATGTCTGAGTCAGGATTTGAAGTATGCTGGGCCTGGAATCAGAAAGACTAATCTTCCAGAGTTCAAATCTGGCCTTAGACACTAACTGTGTGACCCTGGGCAAGTCACTTAACCCTGCTTGCCGCAATTTTCTCATCTGCAAAATGAGCTAGAGAAGGAAGAGATAAACCACTCCTGTATCTTTGCTAAGAGAATCCCAAATGGAGTCACAAAGAATTGGAAATAACTGAAACAAGTGAACAACAATGATGACAACTTATGGACAGAATTAAGAATCATAGAATTGAGTTAAGAATCTATGCTATCAAACTGTCCCTTACCCTAATCCATCTTGCATTCCATATATACCAACCTCACTAGTCTTCCTTGGGGAGTTTAAGTGGATTTTAATACTACATACTCATGGCAGCAAATTATCCTGCTCTGTCATGCCCACTACTTAATGAGGGAAGGGAGAATATTGCTGTATTAGAGAGACTGAACAAATGGGCAGGGAGAAAACATCCAGTAGTGCTGAGCATGTGTCAGAAGGCAAAGTGGGGGAGGAAGCAGTGGTAGAGAAGTTAAACCCACTGGTAGCTAACCACATGGAATTTTCTTGTGACAGGCAACCAGCCAAGCACTCAATTACCAACCTGCAGAGGGCCTGAAATCATCTATGCCTGGGGATGTGGACAAGAAAAAAAATGTGATCCCATGTTTTGAGAAGATTGATATAACACTTTTATGAGAAGACAAGGGATGGAGAGCTAAAAAAACCAAAGAGGGAAACCATAGAGAGGAGAGAAACCATAGAGCTCCCCAGCTGTTTTGAAAGGGGTACCAGACAGAGTAGAAGCCTGATTCAACACTACTTTACCTGAAAAAAGAGAAGGCAAGAAAGGTGTGGAGAACAAAAAGGACATGAGAGTGCCTTTGGGGATAAGTCAAACTCCCAAACAGGAAAAAGCAGCAGGGAAGGAGATGCATATAGAAAGAAGAAAAGATTAGTAGAGGGACAGGAAACGGTACAACATAATAAAGCCATATAACAAAGGAAAATGCAGGAAAAAAATTTCCAGTAAAAAAGATATAAGATAAATTCTATGAGTTCTTCAGAAATAAGAGATGCATTGCAAGAAACTATGGAAAGTGAAAAAGGGAAATCAAAAGAGAAAGGACAAAAATAGGATTGAACGCAGGGTGGAAATGAGAACTGTCAAAGAAATATTCACTAAGACAAATGAAAAAGAAGGCAAATAAGAAACTATAAACAAGAATCTTTCCAAGACAGTAGAGACTCTAAGAAAAAGAATGGCAAGTTTGGAAGGCAAAAACACAGATCTAGAGAGAAAACTAGGCAAACACTCAAAGAACTATAGCAATGGAAAAACCATATGAATACAATTTAAAGGACTGACCTTGAGGAAAGGTTATGCTGATACAATATGAGGTTCCTTGGTCTCTCAGAAAAACAGGCTGAAGTGAAAAATCTAAATACCATGTTATAAAAAATAATTCAAGAAAATTGCACAGAAGCATTAAAAATAAATAACATAATACTGTTGATAGATGGATAGAAGCCACAGATCACTGAAAGAAAGAAATCCTAAGCTTCAATTACCAAAGGAATGTAATGTTTAAACTTCAGAATTTCAATGTCCCACAACAAATATTGCAAACGACCAAAAGCAAAGTCTTTAGTTATCTAGGTAAATCAATTTGAATAGCT